TTTTCATTTCATTTCAATTCTTCTTTTAAGTATCTTTGCTATTATCTTTGCTGTATGTGCAATAAGGCTTATTGTGCGATGGTCGCTGCATTTTGTAGCTTTTGTCTTTTTCTTTAAGGCAATCATTGTAACTTCTGTAAAGTCCTTGGGCCACTCTCCACTTTCATATATGGTGTTCATTAGTTTTGTCAGTGTTTTCAAACCACCTTCTCCCAGTAACTTGAGCACATCTCCAGGTACATCATCATCTCCTGTAGCCTTTCCCTTCCTCATTTCCTTGATAGCTTTTTCCACCTCACTTTGTAAAATATATGGTCCTTTCTCGTCTGTATCTACTTCTTCTTCCGGTTCAACTTCTAAGGTTTCTGGCCGATTAGGTCGATCATATAGTTCTGAAATATAATTTTCCCAAATTTTCAGCACTTGCCTATGATCTACTATTTTATTCCCCTGGGAGTCTTCGATGCCAACATTTTGAATCCCATGATTCTCTTTCCATCCTAGTTCTTTTCTTTGACACAAGCATATGTAAATAAACCTATTCCCCAATAGAACAAGTGCCTCAATTCTGGTAGTGACTACATTGAGATGTAGTATGTACATATTTTTTGTATATATTTTTTCTTTCATTGCTTGTTTTGTTAACAGCTAACTGGAGGTTAATTTCCAAATAGCCCTTGTAGAAGAACCTCTGAGATCCAGCTTGTAGCAGGTCAGTATCCTCAGTGAACTACCCCAGCTCAGCTGTTATAATCAAACCCTGGACGTCCATCCCATAGCCAGTCACTAACTGAAACCCAGAAGTGCTCTCATTAGTGTCAGTATGTTGACAGTTAACTCTCTTCTTATAGTCAAACACTGGACATCAAGCCCATAGCCAGTCACCATATTGACTGAGCTAATCCGTTCTCATATAAATGAACTCCAGCACGTAACCAGTCACTATCCTCAATGAGCTACCACAGCTTGCCTGTAATAATCAAATTAGGATAAACCAGTCCGGTCCAGTCCATAGCAAGTTACTATACCGACCGAACTACCTCAGCTGACCGCCTAGTATCAAATCCTGTCGCACACTCCCAAAGCAGCCATAATGAATTACCGTGATTAGCTGAGGTAAGTATGTTGAGCCGCACTGATGTTTGTAGACAATAGCGAAGATAGCGAAGTTGATATAGGTGAGAAACTGAATGTCGCGTGAGTTGAAAAGTCATGCAGGATTTATAAGTAGTTTTTTTCCATATATTAGTGGAAAAGTACATTAATTCATATTTTAAAATAGATTAATCAAATGTAACCTATTTGGTTGTTCGAAACCATTATTTGAATTGAAGTCCGAATGATTCTTTTCGATACTTACATTATGCTCTCGAATGAGTAGTCGATAGAACGTCCCGTTCGATAGCTGGCGAGATTATCGGTCATTACCGTCATTACCTCACTATCTTCTGATCGTTCTGATCCTTGTGATGCTTGTGATCGCATTCAACCCATTCGACTTACTGTTTACGCAGATTACTGTATTACTGTAGTAGTCGGTCGGGTGCAAGTCGTCGTGTTTTGCGGTGTTTCGTGCCTGTTCGTGTCGTCACGTGGAGCTGTTGAAAGCGGAAACGTAGTTTACTCCAGTCGCTTTAGATACATCTCCTTCGTCTGTATGGCGCAGAAGTACGTTTTGAGTAAGGAGGTTCCTGATATAGAGGTGAGTTATCCTACAGACTTATTCTTCGTGTGTGTGCTTGTTTTGATATCGAGATTTGGCTTACTCGCAGTCTGTCAGCACTTTGGAAGTGTTGATGGAAACTGTAGGTTTCCCAGTGTATTTTTACAATTGTGGCCAGTTGCATACTTAACGGAGGACCGTTGTAAAGTCTAATTACTACAATACAGTGATCAGTTGCATTACATGTTATGAAGAGGATGTGTACTTGAAGCAGTTTGTGAGGTAATAAAAACACTTTAGATTCAGAAATGGATTCCATGATCCCAGTTTCCATTTTTTTTTTTAATTCTTGTCTTAACTGTGATAGCTGGCAAGAACGGGATATGGACATCCATTCCAGCTTGCAGCATCTCAGTTGGAGTTGCCAAGAAAGCGGTCAGGGACTGGACGAAAAAAAAAACCATTGGGAATCCATAACTGGGCTCAAACAGGCAAAGGGACTTATTACAAGGGCCGTCTGCCAGAAGAACGAAGGATCTGTTGAAATTAAACAGAGACCAATTAAGATGGGTGGTAGGACTATTTACGGGACAGTCACCTAAAAGGACACGTTTTCAAAATGGCGTTGATTGACGACCCCACTTGCGAAACGTACCTAGAAGAAGTTGAATCACCAACACATGAAAGAACTTACATACGTAAGAACTATTACAGCAAGGGCTCAGTTGGAAAAAAAAAAAAACATCTGTGGTTGTCACCATTACGAACGATTGGCTGTAAATCGCCAGTCGTAAAGTAACTACGATTTTGACTTCCCAGACCTTCTTGTTTCTTTTTCCCATTATATCCATCTGCTAGTTTGAGAAATGTTCGTAATTTGTGAGGTGTGCAGTGCATTTTTTAATTTTTTAACGCCGTGGGTCACGTTTTGTGGACTGAGTGACATCACAGTGGAAGTGTCTTCAGTGGGAAGTCATTATCTAATATCGCCACATACACGTCTTCACCAAATTAAATGTGATCATTGTTTTTTCTCTCTGGTCTGTTTTACAGCACTGTTAATATGTCTGGTTATATAGCGTCGGATGGTTGATAGCTGAGTAATTGGGAAATGCTTGGATGGAAGCGGTCGTGGCCAATTCGAAGTACTGATCCCGTAATTTAATTGGAAAGATTCAGGGAAATCACGATAAAACATGTATCAACATAGCAGGTCGTCCGAGCGTGACTCGAACCAAGCACCTTTTGAATACAAGTCTACACCATCCCTCTTGGTTGTGGTTACTATTGTACCACGATGAACCATGTTTCAGGATCAAGTGTGGCTGTTATGTGATGCCACGCAGTGTACGTATGCGTCACATGCCGGAGTACAGCAATCGCTGAGAGAACCCCAGGCCCCATATAACCGAGTTCTATTGGTGTTGCGCTATCTTCCCGTTAAGGCGAGCCTATCATGTTGCCTCACATTTCTGGAGACCTTAGCTCTTCTGTTATCTGCAGGGGCCTGGTTATCAATCGTCGTGGTATTAACTTTGTGCAAGTGTCCCACCGTGAATGTAGATCTGTTGTTGGAATGTAGGCATATTTGCGTGTACACTCCTGGGTGAAATTAATTGAACACCAGGCCATCCAACCTTGGGACTGGATGCGGGTGACTGGTCAGCTTCACATCTCTGCCCCTGTTATCCCGGGGAAAGAGCCCTGATTACCCATTGTATAATAAGAGGCTTGGTGGGCCCCGCGGCAGATGTGGACGTTGTTGAGAAAAGAGAAATAACTTGTCCGTGCCGGGGATCGAACTCAGATATCTCGGTCATCCACCCCATAATCTAGACACTGTACCAACTGAGCTGCCATACGTCCACACAGATGCATGAACATAATATTCAGACGACGTATGGTGATGAGTCGTTAATCAGACTTATGTATATTGCCTCAGATGCGAGAAAGATAGTTCTGTTAACCTGCTTGATATATTCAGAATTACTGGGTTTTTGGACTTTGGCTATCGTCCGGTATTACCAGATGATGGACAGGGTCCAGAAACCCAGTAATTCTGTGTGTTATATACCATTGTCAGAACCGTTTAAAATCTACCTGATACAGCATTTCGTCAAGGAAGAAATAACGCCGTCAGAGTGTTGTTTGTTCGTGGACGGCATGAGTGGTGATGGGGAAACTGCGGAAATCGTGGCCTGTGGGTTACTAATGCCACGTGTTGCATCGCTGGACACCACGGCATGGTGCGTCCTTGGGTTGCGGATGTAGGAGGCGGCTTCCAGATATGGAGGGTAGCTGCAAATGTATTGAATAAGCAGTCGCGGACAGCCGACAAGTGGTGGCCCTCCAGCCTGGGGATTGTGCGTGGGGCTAACGACTCTTCGCCGTAAAAATAAGCTTGTTACGAAAGATCACAGGAAGCCTCGGACCTGGACGGATACCTTGGATAAACGACCTAAACGAAAGAAAATGTATATGAGATTTGGTACTTGGAATGTCAGAAGTATGTATGGGGCAGGTTCGCTCAGGGCAGTGGCGGAAGAAATCTCAACGTATAAGTTAGATTTAGTGGAATTACAGGAGATCAGATAGGACGGAGGTGGCACCGAACCAGCAGGCGAATATACATTTTCCTATGGAAAGGAGAACAAGATTCCTGAATTCAGACCAGGGTATTCATGTGAAAGTCTTTTAGTCAAAATTTGTCAGGATATTGCTGATTCCCTGGACGAGGGGGCCGGGACAGACGCAATAATAATAGATTTGTCAAAGGCCTTCGATTTGGTCGCACATGATAGGTTACTTACAAAAATAACGGAAACCGGAGAGAACTTGAGGGTACATGTAGTTATATGGATAAAGGAATTTCTGTTAGGACGCTCACAGAGAGAGGAACGGGCACCTATCTGAAGAAGTCTGAAGAATTGACAGAAGAAAATTTATCACAAAGTAATCAGAGATGACGTCATGATAATCATAGAGCCGTCCTTCCAGTGAAAAGCCGACCCACCGATAGAACGGCTTGTCGTATCCGTGGGTTGCGAACCAGATATTAAAAATCCAACCCACTGTCAGAGTAATTAGATAAGGAGATTTATGTCTTTATCCGAGAGGGAGTCAAGGGAAGTTGTGTATGTATGGCGACCCTAATAGGGAGTGAGTGACACAGACCAGCTTAGTCTAGCTTAGTTTATACAGGTGTTTCTTGTAATGCCAAGACAGAGAATACGTAAGGACGCTATCTACGCCATTTCATGGGGAGGCTTCAATGTGGAAGCCTATATATATTCCTGCAAACTAAGTGGAAGGGGGACTCTTCATCTTTACACTAATCCAGAGAAGTAACGTTGAATGCAGATCGCTTGCCTTGAGTGTTCCTAAGTCTCGGCAAAGGAGACTGTATTCATGGACCTTTAAATAAATAGTCTTTATCCACCAACCACTGAGGATTGTTCTTTGAGTTAAATCACTCTTAAGCGACGCCTTATCCAGCGCTCCACGGCAACCTGAGCAGATCAGCATCCGCTCGGCTCATCTGTAGGTGAGTATTCCAGCTGCCTGGTCAAGACCTTCAGCTCGGGATACGACAGGCTGTCTTCCCAGTGATAGGCCGACCCACCGATAAAAAGCACTCATGTCGCCAGTTCTTTTCACTGGCATGCAGACACAATTACTACTCTGTAATTATATGCATTTCCGGACCCATGTTGTCATATAATTTTCTTCTTCTCTCTGCAGGAGGAGTCCTTTCCTGAAGTTTTGTCGTTGAGTTGTGATACACTCTGTATACGAAGAAGTTGGTATAGCGATAGGCTACGGGCTACGGGCTGGAGAGCCTGGGTTCGATTTCCGGCAGGAAAACATTTTTCTCTTCTCATCATTCACACCAACTCTGAGGCCCACCCAGCCTCATATCCAATGGGTACCGGGAGCTCTTTCTTTGGGGGTAAAGCGGTTGGGGCTTGAAGCTGACCACTCACCTCCAACCAGAGCCGAGGTCAAGAAAAGAGTGGATCTATAAATCCACTCCCCCATACGCCTTCGTGGCGTATTGATAAATTAGTTAAGTACAGGAACAACTTTACCTTTTTCTTTACCTCCATCGGGACCATTGCAGGCATTGTTAGCCAGTTCCTTGACACTACCGCTAACCGTTTGTGAGCACAGGGTCGGTTAGGAGTCACAGTACTTGAGGGTAGGAGGGAGTGCTTTACATTCCGAGCCATCACCTTAACTAAACGAGAAATGTTAACATGCTTCATTTGCTGCCCGTAGAGAGATGAAGAACACTCAGAATTTGTGGCTAAGAGACAACGAATCGCAGCGATTAATAATGGCAGAAAGGCCTCCTATCGCTGGCTGTACCGTCAAATAATCGTCACTCTGAATGGATAGTTAACCAGTCGATTCTCCGAAGTTTGAAGGTTGTTTCACTTCTGGACTTCGGAAATTTTAAAAACTACCGTAATAGTTTCCCGGTATTGCGTATGAGCTGTCATTGAAATCATTCGGGCGTTATTTCGGGTCTATTCATCTGGAAATGACTTCTTGTCGGTATTAAAAAAAAAAAGAGTTATAGATGTCCCTATAACAGGCCGTGGAGGCTCGTAGGGTTGTGAGACGTCGAGGCTCACACATGGCGGCGAGGTTGTCAGCCTTACGTGTCGGCCGCCCTTTAACCCCCAGGAAGATTCCTGGTACTGATTTCTCTTAGAGGCTGAGTCGACTCCAGGGCCGTAGGGCGGCTGGAAGGATTAGGTAAATTGAAAAATCCAACGACCTCACAGGGAATCGAACAGGCGACCATCCGGCTTGTATCATAGTGCCTCAATCAACTGCGCTACCACATGTCTCCTTTATATAGGAGAGTGCCAAAGTTCATTACGGTTAGATGAGACGCTTGGATTATATTGAACAGTTAGTATTGAGGGATTTGAAAGGAAGCGGCCCCTAATTTAAGTGCAGGGTACTTACTTATTCCAGCGCTTGCATGGGGGTACTGAGGTAGAGTCTCGAATCCGTTCTTCTCAGCTTTTCCTTGTGGTGATGACTTACTTCTGGGCCTATTAAATGTTTCTTAAGTTGGTTGATACACCAAGAACCGTCTAGAACGTTTCAGTAACCGAGAAAGTACTTCAGTAGACAGCATGTTCCATCATTGAATGTACATGCATACAAACAGAGCTAGTAAAAAAAGAGGCGCATTAGATTAAATTAAATATTAATTTACACGCAGATTCTAAGGGTTTTGACGATGGTGTATAATACTCAGAATTACTGAGTTTTTCTACTTTCTCCATCGTCCGGTATTCTGAAAATTAGAAAACACAACATTTCGGAAACTGGACCAAACTGAGTAGGTGTTTCCTCCCTACCTGAGGACGGAAACACATCCAGTTTCCGAAACGTTGTATTTTCTAGTTTCTAGAATGCCCGACGATGGACAAAGTCCAAAACCCCAGTAATTTTGAGTATTAATTTGTGTACTTAGCGGTAGCGTAGTTGGTTGAGGCACTATGCTGCAAGCCGGAAGGTCGCGGGTTCGATTCCCGATGAGGTCATTGGATTTTTCGATTGACCTAATCCTACCAGCCGCACTATGGGCCTGGGGTCAAGTCAGCCTCTAACAGAATTGAATACCATGAATCTTCCTGGAGGTGAAGGGCGGCCGGCGTGTAAGGCTGACAACCCCACCACCATCGGTGAGCCGATTGTCTAGAAAATGTGGGAACCTCGCCGTCTCACTGTCTATAAATCCGAGATTAACGGCCGTGGGGATCCGTTGCGCTGACCACGAGACACCCTCTATTCGTAAAAGTTGGCACTAACTTCGCCGACAAGCGGCGGGCGCTCGGTCGGTATAGTTCGCTTGCGGACTAAAAGCCACGGATTATATATATAAACAAACTCCGTGGTTTTAATACGCAAGCGAACTATACCGACCGATATATATGTACTTAATGTGCAGGTATGATTTTAATGTTAATTAGTACAGTAGTCTTGGAGGGTGAGGGCAGGGCGGCCGTTGGAGGGGCTGCACTGCACGTTAGCGCTTCGGTATCTAAGAAGTAGTTCGACGAATTTCTAATTTGTCTGCATTTCGTGTGAAATAAAAATATTTTTTTTTCAGATCCTCAGAGTCGTTGCTTGAGGTTTCCAGAAGCTGCTGGAGAATCTTGCATCACGGGTTCTACCCTTAGCCCACTCTTCCATGGCAGTTTGACTTGAAATCCCATGTCAACCCCTGCTATTATTTTTATAGGAATGTCAGAGCGTAGAGAAACAACCCTTGCAGTGGTGATGAGCTGAAAGAACAGATTTCATCTGTTGTCAACAGAATCACCGCCGACAGTGTAAACAGAACAAGTTGCTAGTTTTCGGCGTCGAATGCTAATGGTCTTACGGTGTATATGGATGATCTCTGTATGGAGCATGACAGAATATTGTTTCAATCTGCTGTGCACATAAATTAACACAAAAATAATTTCTGTACGTTTAAACTGAAATATAGTTTATATTCGCTCAGTATGTACGTACATACGAAAGGAATTTTAGCTTGATTTATCTAAATTGTTTGAACTGTATTCATGGTGGCCGTTATCTCTGGTTTCAGCATAATCTATTTTATTTACAGAATCTCTTGAATCTGAATCCGAAGATCAAGACCTTTGCCACTGTTGTGCCTTCTGCATACACAAAGGAAAATAAACTTAAATGGAAGAGGAACGCCAACAGAAAGTGCGAGGTAAGTATAAATTACATGCCCCTTTCTGTCTATGGCTCTACAGCCCTTGTGGACCTTGGCCGCTTTTTCAGTTTCTTAACCTATACACAGTTGGTAGGACTCCTTCGACGGGGGATTAGCCCGTCGCAAGGCCACTACCTACACACAGGATAACATAAACATAGAATAAACCCACACATACAGCCATGCCCGAGTGGGATTCGAACCCACGACCCCAGTGTTCGAGCGGTCGAGGACGGTTCATGCCTAAAGGGGCCCATACACGTACGAGTCTGGCTCGCGAGTCCGACTCGGCTCGGGTTCCAATGAGCCAAACTCGTCCGTGTGTGGGTCGCCACGAGCCGGGCTGGGCCGAGTCCGGTGAGGCTCGCCAGGGCCTTCGGTAGGACTCGGCACGGCGACGGCTCGCTATTGGTTCGTACGTGTTTGGGCGGTCCCGAGCCAGACTCGCGTATCTACACGCCACACGAACAGACTGTGTGATGAGTTGTGGTACTACGGAGGAACCATTTCGGCTTCCATGTGTAACAAAACATTCATGAGCCCAGAGTTTTTGACACGGTGAATTGCCGGTTCTGTGGCAAGTTCGCAGCACAGAGTATTCGAACAAGGGAAAGCGGAATCAGGCCTGGGATTTACTCGTGCAGTTCACGAGAGAGAAAAACTGTGATGCTGACTTGAATTTTGTTAAGAAGAAAGTGGACAGTATCCGGGCATCATTTAGGAAAGAACTGCGCCTAGTTCGGGAGAGCAAGAGAAGTGGTGCGTCTGGGGATGATGTCTACAAGCCAACGCTGTGGTACTTCGACTTGCTTTTGTTCACGACAGACCAAGAGAATCCTCAGAAAAGCAAAAGCAGTTTCTTCAGGTCTTTAGGTCTATCATTTCTAATAAAGTTCAATAAATTTAAATGTGTAAATCTGTCTCTACTTAACAACCAGTTCTTAGTTCACATTTCCCTCCTTTTTCTATTATTTTTTTCTCCCGAACACACGGCATTCATCAAGTATTATCACCGTTGCTGCAGCTTGCTTCGATGAACTCAGTCTGGATACTGAAATGTACGAGTAAAGTTGGGAGTCAGCTCATGCATGTGTGGTGAAATTAATCATAGTCCGGCTCCCGAGTCAAGCTCGCCAAGCCAGACTCGTACGTGTATGGGTCCCTTTAGACCGCGCGGCCACTCTGGTCGGCAAACTACATGCCCCTGGTGTTCAAAAATCGACTTACGGTTTCGGATGAGACAAGTATTCTTTTTCGCAGTTCGTGTATTGTGTTGGGAGAGTTATCTAAGAACAAGTTTTTGACCGTTGAGGGGCAGCCTCAAATTCTGCCACCTGGTAGCGTCTGTGCAGTAGTGAAGTGTGTAGTACTACTTTCTGCACAAGTTATTCTAGGGGACTGACCCATTGAATTCGACGTGGCAGATTACATCCATCAATGCGTCTTTATCAGTTACATTCCAGAGATTTCTAAGGATGCCATCACAACTCAGAATGCAATGTTACAGTCGACAGAGTAAAGTGTAATGATTTGTTATACAAACAAACAAAAAGAAACCCCGTGGCCTGTGGTTCGCAAGTGAACTATACCGACCGAGCGACCGCCGCTTGTCGGCGAAGTTAGTTCCAGCTTTTGCGAATAGAGAGTGTCACGTGGCCAGCGCAACGGATCCCACGGCCGTTAATTTCGGTTTTCTAGACGTGAGCCGCTATTTCCTTGAAATAGCTCCGCAGTTATCCTCACGAGGCTGTGTGGACCCCGTTTCAGACCCAGTACTTCTCAGAAAATGTGGTAGCGCCGGGAGTCGAACCCGAACCTCTGGATCTGTAGCCAGGAACTCCGACCACTAGACCACAGAGGCGGTCTAATGGTTTGTTATAACAAAGGACAAATTTAGCTTGTACGTCATTGCTTTTCGAGAACAAGTTTTGAGCCGTACCGATAACTTTTCACTCCCTTTCCATTAATGATATGTTTATTAGATCACCTCAAGGCAGGGTAAGAACACCCTATTTGGATCTGCTGTTGGGCGCAACCAGATTTGTTTAAGGAATTGTTGATTCGAGGACGATATAGGATGGAAGGTTGCAGGAAATCAGGTGAGCTGGTGAACATGAAACGGTTAGGGCGCAATATACGACCGGAAGTCGGTTTCGTTGCAGGGCGCATATGGAAATGCTTATTTATTAGANGCATCCATGTAGATTACAAACACGAGGCTCATCATGATGCAGTTCTCTCCAGAGCCCACTTTGCTGTTTCTGTTGCTCAGTTTCTTGGGGGGGGGGGGGGGGGAGACTGGGTCCACTTGATACGTCGGTCACTATTTGGCCTATTGTACCAGCCCCGATTGATAGATGATGATGAATGTGGAACAGTCCGTGGAATAACAATTGGCAAGGGAAACCGAAGTACTTTGTCCATCACAAATCCTATATGACCTGACCTTGGATCGAACCTGGGCCTCCGCGGTGGGAAGGCGACGACCATCCTCCTGAGCTATGGCACGGCCTGCTGCGAAGTGTTTTAATTTATTAGCAGTTCGAAGTTCCAAGACTTAGCTGGGAGTTACTAGCTTTATGTACGTTCTGTTTGCGGAGCGGGCACGGAACACATCTCAACTGTTCCCAGTACATTTCGGGGCGTGTCGACTTGGAGCTCAATCATGAAAACTAATGGCTGGACGTTACTGCCAAAACTGGCCGTCGCCAGCGGCTTAGAATTTCCGAAGAAAGGTTTATTAGAAGTGTCCGTCTCTGTAACACGTGGATATAGCGTCTTGTGGTTCGTGATTAAAATTAATGCAGTTTAAATTCTGAGCAAGCACAAAATAAAAGAAAAAATGCAAAAAGTAAAGTAATAGACTGTGGAGACCCGTAGGGTTGTGAGACGTCGAGGCTGCCGCATTTTCTAGACAGTCGGCTCACAAACGGCGGCGAGGTTGTCAGCCTTACGCGCTGGCCGGCCACCCTTTACCACCAGGAAAATGAGGTACTCTTCTGTGTTAGAGGCTGAGTCGACCCCAGAGCCTTAATGCTGCAGGAAGGATGGTTAGATCAACTGAAAAATCCAATGAGCTCATCGGGAATGGAAAGCTCGAGCTTCCGGTTTGTATAGCAGAGTGCCCCCAAAATAAAAGAAAATGAATGTTATTAATTTTGACCATGTTAGATATAATTTAATGCAGAGTTTACAGAATTTCGAAAATGAATAACAGGAACAAAGATGGTCAGCGTAATTTCAAGTAGGAATGATGATATTCCAGCATAAAATATATTGTTGCTAAAACTCTTAAAGTCGGCAGAAGACATGGCGGATAGAATTTGCTCAAGTATGCCACACTGACGTGATGGAGATGCCGTGAGTTCTGTCAATCCTAAAACGCGACGTTGCTATCTTAACGTGTTATCTTACATACCCAGCGGAAAATGTAATCTGACATCACGAGATACCGCACATTGCGTTGATAAACCAATAAGAAATAATGGCCATATCAGCAAAGAAGTTCTTAACTGTTTTGACCATGTTAAATATAATTTAATGCAGAGTTTACAGAATTTAGAAAATGAATAACAAGAACAAAAATGGCCAGCGGAATTTCAAGTAGGAATGATGATATTCCAGCATAAAATATATTGTTGCTTAAAACGCGACGTTGCTATCGTAACATACCCAGCGGAGAATTTAATTTCATGGATTGTAGACGTTTCGACATAGGATGCTCTGGGACTGCAGCAAAGCAAACTAGCGTGCGCGTGTTGACAAATCTGTACTGCAGCATCTGAAACTGTTTTTATTTTGTTTGTGGTAGTTACTCTCATTAATGTCTCTTGGTTATTGTACTTCCATATGTTATTTATTGTTGTGACCTTTAGAATACTTTTTTTTTTTTTGTTGGGTATGCCTTAGAAATAAGATTGTACTCGCACACTAAAACGGCCTGGAATGTCACATATATAAAATTGTAGCAGGTCTAAGGCGTGTACTGTCTTCGCTTGCTTGGAAACCGGGATCGTGGGTTCGAATCCCACTCAGGGCATGCGTTTTTCTGTGTTTGTGTACAGGTAGAGGCCTTGCGACGAGCTGATCACCCACCCAAGGAGTCCTACCGAATGTGTAAGATCTAGAAAAACCGAAGTGAACGGAGAAGTTCATGGAGGTAGGCCTAGGCCCACTGGGGCTGTAATGCCAAGGGGGGGGGGAATTGTAGCATGTTATTTATAATTACTCCGACAGACAACTAAATCTGAAAATAATTTACGGCATCATCTGATGTAAACTTTGAGGTTTTCATTAGGGGTTCTTCACAGCACCCTCTTTTTAAAGTACTGAGCAATCTGTGTTCCATGTAAAGTAAAGTTGTCCCTGTGTTTAATTAACTAGCCACCACGCCATGAAGAAGAATGGGGGAGTAGACGTATAGCTACATCATTTTTACCTCTGCACCAGATTGGGATGAGTGGTCATGCTCACGCCTTGGTCGCTTTACCCGCTACCCATTGGATAGGAGGCTGGTTGAGCCCCAGAGCCGGTCTGGACACTGTGGAAAAGAGAAAAGTCCCTTAACCTGCCTGGAATTGAACCTATCGAGCTCATAGACCATAGTAATAACAACTGAGCTATCCCGGTTCATCTGTGTTCCCTGTAGAATGGTGTTTTTCTAAGTGGCACAAACGTAATGTTATCCATAATATAAGGAACGTTTGAAGATCTGTGTCGTGTTAGTATATCAGTCACCCAGTCAGTACCTATTCATTGGAACAGAAAGTCAAAGCTGTTTTTCAGTGATAGCTCTCCAAAGGAAACTCCTTATGATGACAGTTTATATCCCTGGCTTCCAGATTCGTAGACATCCCTATACCAAACCTCTGAACAAAAACAAAATTAATAATTTCCCTGGGGTTGTCTCCAAGAGGAGATGTTTTCTATTTAAAATTCTTCTATTCGATATGCCATCTGGGGGGAAACGGTGTCAAACGAACGGACATTTGGCTGTTTGATATATGACATGTCCGTACAAAGAATCTGCCCTGCAAGTTTAGGAACTGGTATTATTGTTCGTGATAGCAACTTACGTCTTATATCTTCGGATATCTCTTGGTCATTTTTGTGTTCTACAGACCACAGTTTCTCTGGGGAAAGACGTATAAAGAAAATCATATGTATGTGCTTAAATGACCTAATTATCCTTGGAATTTCACATACACTCAACTCTCGATTATCCGGGATAATGGTGGGGATGGAAATCATGATTAATCGAAAACCCAGTTAAGACAAATTTTATTAAAAGTAGTACTGTAATACTGTACCTTCATAATACTATAGGCCTACCTGTATTTAAATTTATTCAACCTCATTTTTATGTCATCTCATGGCCTATCTAATACTTTTTTACGTTACACTGAAGTATGAATTAGTTATTTCAAACACACTGTTCAACAACATCCAACACTTTTTACGAATATTCACACTTAACACTTAAAAAAATTAATATTGTCGTTTGCTTTTTCTCGGTATTTTCGTTTTTACGGATATTCGTACGAAGCATACGTAATATTAGCTTGTGACTTAATAAACTGTTCTCTTCACTCTCAAGATAGTCTAGTAAGGATTCCAAATGATTAAGAGCAGCACCATATGATATTTTCTTACTAGCAGCAGCGTCCACATCTTCCTCGTTCTCACTTTCTTCCTGCTCTTCTGGCTGCACCCCCACTGAACTTAGGATTTCATCACTGCTTAACATTTTGAAGCCCGGCTCACACGAATCACAGTCAAACCACTCTCTTATATTTTCCTCGTTGACTTCTTCACCACTATGAACTTGGTTAGCCAATTTTGTCAATTCTATGGCTATCTCATTTTCACTGAATCCATTGAATCCATGGATTTAATAATTTTCATTAGTGATGAAAGGCATCAGTTTCTTCCATGAATTTTTCAATTCAGATGGCTTTACTGTATCCCACGCTGTTGAAATCTCGTATATGGCATCTAACATTGAAAAATACTTCCAGAAACACGTCAGATCATTGCCTTCATCGATGTACTTTTGTAGCAAATTTGATCTGTAGATTCTCTTCATACTTGAGATAACTCATTGATCCATTGGTTGCATAAGTGCGGTAACATTAGGAGGAAAATATTTCGCAAAAATATTTCCATCATCTGACCTCAGGAGACTTTCGTTAGGATGTGAGGGCGCATTGTCAATGAGGAGCACAGCTTTCTTGGGTAGGCCTTGGGCTTTTAGATGGTCACGAACTTGAGGCACAAATTTAAAATCAAACCATTCTTTAAATATCGCTCTATTCATCCAAGCTCCTTTCTGATTAAAATAATGGATAGGCGGACTTGAAGATACTGTTCCTTTAAAAGAGCGTGGTCTTTATGCTTTGCTGATAACTACTGGTGTTAGTTTGTGTTTTCCTGATGCATTAGAACAGCACAAGACTGTCAATCTCTCCTTACTGGATTTGTGGCCTTGAGCCTGTCTTTCATTTTGAAATGCCCATGTTCTGGTTGGCAAGCATTTCCAATAAAGACCCGTTTCATCGGCATTATAGATTTGTTCTGGCAGCAGATTTTCACTTTTCACGAAACTATCAAAATTGGTGCAAAATTGAACTGATGATGACAAGCCCCCTGACAATTTCTCACCTTGAATACTAATTTCTCGTATTCCATGACGCTGCTTGAAACGTGTTAGCCAAACAGAAGAAGCGTCAAAACTTCCTTGTAGTTAAAGTGCTTCGAAAAAAAAAATTTGCTTGTTTAGCACAAACTGCTCCTGTTATTGTTGTTCCCTGTGCCCTTAGTTGATTAAACCATATCAGCATTGTTTTGTCGAGATTATCATATGTTGATTTGTTCATGGTTTTTCTCTTCTTCATTCCGCTTGAATTAGAAGACGAAGCAAAGGAAATTAATTGATTCTTTTGTTTTTTCAAATCACGAACAGTTTGTTCTCCAGTACCGTATTGTATTGCTAATTGTTTAACTACACCTCTTTTTCCGAACTGATTGATAATTTCAAGTTTCTGTTGAATACTTAACACAACACGATTCCTTTCACACCCTGACATTTTGCTAATGCACTTGAAGATCGATACAAAGAGACTAACTGGGGCGGTGTATCTGTCCTTGAAACTTTCCACAAATCCTTGCATTCTTTCACCCCTACCCTAGAACATTGTGTTAGCATAACGGGACCAAAAAATGCAGAGCTCGGTTCACACTAGTGTTACAACTCACCATGTGAAACAAAAGTGAATGAATATTAAACAACATATAAGCCTCAAAAAAGCCCCGGTAGCCCCTGTTAAGCCGCAAACCGGTTTATCTGCCCCCGGATAATCGAGAGTTAAGTGTACTTAAATTTCTACTCAGTATTCGTAATTGCTGGATACGCAGCTAGGTTATCTTAAAGCAAATAAAAGTGAAACCATATTGCACTATAATCTAGTGTACACACGTTTTGTTACCATGGCTACTATGGAGCTTATGAAGGTTAACTTAATTTTCGTGTTTGGTATCCTATTGCATATATATATCAGTGTGTATATTGGAACCTGACACAGCAATCAGTAGGTTACAGTTCAATAACTAACTGATGGAATATGTATGTATCAATATGCTAGTCGGTTTATCAAGTGGCAAGCTACATGTTTTGGCCCTGAGACCATTCCAGGCATGTATAAAGAAACAAATATACACATTAATATAATATATGAACGTTACATGCGCTTTGTTACCAGGGTCCAAATGCTTTTCTAACAGAAGTTATAATGGAGAAAGAAATTGGCTATGTAACGACAAAATGAAAACTTCTTCAAGTACCCAAAAGGATACAACCTACTTGCGACATAAATATATCATTTCACTTACATTGATCAAGAAAAACTGTAAACAGAAAAATTAAAGGAAATCTATCAATAGTTATACAGGCCTTGTGTCCCTTGGCCTCTTTTTCAGTTTCTTAAACTTTAGCATACAAATGTTAGATATATCTAACAGCCAGTGACACTCCGCTGTGGTGAATGTTAGATTTATCTAACGCAGTACACGTGCACTTTTTGTGAGTGCTGACAGTATGATCTTCAGGTTGAAACTACAACAAACCCATACAAGGTCAAGTCAGTGGTTCATTCGTTAGCTCTGAACAGTGAAATCGTTTATCGCAGTACTTGTTTCAATATTATTTACGTTTAGATATGGCTGTTTATGACCTGGTCAGCCAAATAGAGCACAGTTTTGTTCTGAGAACTGAGAAGTAGATATTCATCTGTGCATGCAGATTAGTGCTACTTGGGCTTGCAAGGAAGTGTGACATTTTCAAGGATTGGTTTGCAGTAGCGAATTACCAGTCAGAAAATCAGTTTCGGATTGTCAATTACTTATTTATAAAACATTTTTATTTTGTGTCTGATAGAGGCATAAACCCATTGAAGACAACAATGCACATATGAGCTCTGTGGTTAAATCTGACAGGATGGTAAATAGTTATGGATTTGATCATTTAGCCAGGTTCTGGAAGACATCAGTAAGAGAGGAAAGAAGCTGGCAAAAAAAAAAGGACAGACTGTGTGGAAAGAAAGGAGAGACTGAAGACTTTTAGACTTTCCACTCATAAAAGCAAATGATGCTGGAAGGGGAAGAAGTTTTCTATCAGACTAGCTTAAATGGCGTTTATGTCATGTATGAGAGTTTTATGGGTTTTACATTAGGGAATCTTCCAAATCCTTCTCCCTTAAAGCCGGCATTGTTTTGATGCTCATGTACTTTCATTAGATGAGCCAAATGTCAGCAAAAAATGTCTGTATTAATACATATACTGAAATTTCAGTGTCTAGTTTTCTGTTCTATCTGTTTGAGGGGATGAATTAATTGATAAATTGTTTGAAATGTAATCAATGTGAATGATCAATATTGTAGTTACTAATTGTTCATGCAGTGAAAGATGAATAGAGAAAATGAATGCCAACATCTTTGCTAATAAGGGTTGGTTTCTTTAGCTTTATTAGTATCATAAAGTTAATTTATAAAAAGTTATGGGACATATAAAAGATTTTATTTTGATGCATCACACAAGGGGCACTGTGTTGCATTTTCACGAACTGTTACATTAAAGGCCACAAATCATGAGCTGTTCTGTGGGAAATGTAATGCAGTGCCAGTTAAAATAAACAGGTGTTTTGGGGGCTAGTAAGCATTGATCTATGACATTTTTGTTTCAGAGTTGTGGAAGCTTAGAGAAGAACTTTGACGACATCAAGCACAGCACATTGAGTGAGAGGGCAGCTCTAAGGGAAGCCGCTCGATGTCTGAAGTGTGCGGATGCCCCCTGTCAAAAATCGTGCCCAACCCAGCTTGATGTCAAGAGTTTTATTACCAGCATTTCGAACAAAGTAAATTGTATCTGCATATCCTAGACAAAAAAGGCTGTAAGTCATAACTCCATGAAGCAGTCCTTCTCGAAAAGCTATAATTGTTTAGCTGGTCAATAAGTAGTCCTCCTTTTATGGAACCCGAAAGCTCATCATTGTGTTCACAAGAATCTGCCCCTGGACGCCATCCTTATGCAGAATACAGGATTACAATGCCACCATTGAAGGATTTTGCATGTTAATATATTTAAATCATCATAAATTAGTATTTCAGCGAGAATGTTCAGTATGCAAGAAAAGTAAAACTAATTTGTTATGGTGGCAACCTTTAACAGTGTTTACATTTAGGAGCAGTGGGGCTGTGAGGACTGTTTTCTGGATCAGCAGAAATGAACCATACGACAAATTAGTTGCTTAAGAGGTTGGAGAGATATCACATTGATTCTTCAACTAAGAAAAAGTTCAAGGCCACTCCTCTACTAATTTGTCTTATCGTCTGCAGCTCTCTCTTATAATCTGTTATATTCATTTGGTGATCACTTTGGTGAACCTCTTTATTACATAAATTACCTTAATACATATGCTGCTCATAGTATATACCCTGGGACATAGGCTTAATTAGATAATTATTTTGGAGCATTTGAGGAAATAGAGGAGAATGTAGTCTGGAAGCAGAATTTCTGCTTGAAGGAGAAAGTTTCCCTGATTTCAAAATGTTACTAATTACTTTTTTGTTACCGATATTACTAAGAGTTAAATTCATGGGATAGAATAGATCATCTGTAAAATGTCTGACTTACATTCATCTGGCCCCCAGTCTGAATTTCATTCATGGCACTTTGTATACTGACTGTTTTCATGCTTTCCTTAAATCTTTCCTGGCAAATCTATGACAGCCCACATAACAGGTGCCTTGCACAGTAGGCTTGGGTTTCAGAAACTTCACTTCATGGTAGCTGTTGAGCATTTTACTGTGTCACTGCTGAAGATAACTTGTAATGTATGTAGGATGTTGTTCTGCTGAGTCTGCTACTAGCCAGTGCCTGTGTGGAATGAGTTGCTGAGAGAGAACAGCAGGATTATGTCCTTCCTGCCTGAGCATTTGAGCAATTTTTGGGACGTTCTCAGACAATCACACTGTGTTATATATTGGGGCAGTTGGAAGAGGACTTAACAAGAATGTGGTGTCACAGTTTGCATGATGAATATGTTGATCTCTTTCTCACTACCATTACCATGCACAGTTTATATTTAATGATGCTTGTGACAAATCTGTCTCAAACTTGCGTGCTCTTATTTTCTCTCTCATGTTCTCACCAAACTGAGAAAGTTTATTCTAAAGTATTATTTTCTGCATCACACTGTCCCTATCCACCCATCCCGAGTACTGCACTCAACAGTATTTTTGCCAGATTAAAATGTTTACAGTGTGCCAGCAGGGGACGTGTAATTCTTGAGGCAAAGGTTCCATAGCAGAAACTGTTTCTTCTCAGATTTTTTTCCTCATGGTGAATGTAAATGAAATGTTTCCTCATTCCAGAACTATTATGGTGCTGCACAAACAATTTTCTCAGACAACCCATTGGGCCTGACATGTGGGATGGTATGTCCAACCAGTGATTTGTGTGTAGGTGGCTGCAACTTGCAGGCTGTGGAAGAAGGACCTATAAACATTGGAGGACTTCAACAGTTTGCCACAGAAGTACGTGTTAACTTTAATATTGGATTAATTTAATTTTTTTGAGCATATAATTAAATATTTTTACATATCATTAAATGTGTAATACTCTACCCATTTTACTGCATTAAATTTAGTAAACCAAGGTACTTGTTTTAATACACGCTCTTGATTATAGGGTTAACAGGAGTCAGAGGAAGTATGAACAGTAGAAATGCGCAGATACTCCAAAATTACATCATGATATACTCACAATATTGTATTTAAGCATCCTATTGCATTAATGTATCTTTTATATACAGTATAATTCTGTAAATAATGCAACCATTTCTATCACTCCTTCCCATTACAAGTGGACATTCTGTACAGTGGAACAGTTCTGGCATAACTGAGACACCTGATGATGGCCGTTGGGACCGAAACATGTTGTGAAGGGAAGGAGTCATAGAAATAGTTGCATTATGGATGGAATTATATTGTGTAAATGATCTACTCACACCATCACTCTTCAAATGGTGTTATATGTACTGTAGAAGTTTGGTATTACAATCATCTTTACCTCCTTTCTCTACACATCCCCAGGAAACAGGTTAAATTTACACCGAGGAGCATAATTTAGAATTATATTAGAAAGGGGTAGGTCTCCAACTGCCCCTATACCACAATGATCTATTATAATAGATCATTGTGGTATAGGGGCATTCATTCCCAACAAATATCCCAGAATAAATTGCATTAGTTTGCTGATTGATGCCTCATGATGGTCACTGAGTGTTCGTATGTGAGTCCTACAAGGTATTTGCATTAACACAGTATATGCCAAGCTGTTTCTTTGCATCTCTGACACCTGCTGTAGGATTATAAACCCTGTTTTGTTGAAAGGGATGGAAACAGTATGTTTTCAGCTCTGATGCCATGGCTCAGAATATTGAAAATTTTATTAGGGAGCGTCTGAAGGTTAAAGTGATTCCCTTAGACCAGCCTTTCTAAAAGAAACATACTTACTCTTTCCAGTTTGTTATACTTTATCCAATACAAACTCAGTTGACACGATAGAGTGAAGTGAGTTATTTTTATTGATTGTTGTGTTTGACAGATGTACCAAAACAAATACAAACACACACACAAAGGGAAGTTATTTAGCAATATTGAGATCAGTGCGAATTAGTTGAGGATTGAGGAAATTTTAGAAACAATGACACATAAAAGAGAAGAATTAGAGAGTCTAGCATAGTTCAGATATCAGGTTTTCATGGTAATGAGAATGTATGTGGTGTTCTGGGTTAAGATGCCAAGCAGTTAGTTTGGTAGATGGCTAGCAGCTAGCAGCTACTTGAGGAACATGTTTCCTCCATCTTCTCTGAAGATGTAACCGAGTTGTCCACCTGAAATCCTCCAGTTTCCCTGACCTTGATAAAGTGATTGAATTGTGTTGTTGGACAAGGTTTCAGTTTTCCTTTAGCTGGTGAATTTTCATCTTGTAATGATTTCAGGTGTTCAGAAGTATGAATGTACCCCAGGTAAGGCCAGTGAATCAACACAATAAAAATAGTGCTGCAAAAATAGCACTGGTTGGATGTGGCCCAGCTTCACTTTCCTGTGCAACATTTCTTGCTAGACTGGGATACACAGACATCACAATTTTTGAGAAGGAGAATTATGTTGGGGGTCTCAGGTGATTGTACTCATTTTTTTATATGTATGTATCTGATAAAATGACCATTCATTAGAAATACATGTGTCCAGTATGAAACATACCCAGGGATGACAAACTATAAGTGAAGAGAGAAATTAATGATAAATATAAGTGCCACAAGGACATTTCCAGAGTTTCCTATTTACAACCCTTACAAATTGGCAACCATTCATATAAGGATCTGTATTCCACTACACCTTACATTTCATGGGACAAAATCGAAAATAATGGCATTGCAACTGTGTGTAATATATTGGCACACTTGAATTTTCTATATTCTTTGTACAAAATGAAAATAGGACAGGCAGTTCATATCAGACAATCTGTGCACATCAGTATGTTCTGTGTCCTGAACTGATCAGCCAATTTCGAGGACATTTAGTACTTAGAGGTTCTCCACTAAGTTGTCAGGAAAATTTGATTTGGACCACATTGTTCTAATATATAGTAGTGGGGGTGTGGAGTCCAGTTGGATCTGCTTGGCAAAGTGGCCACTGATTGGCCTATTGTACCTGCCCCGGTTGATTATGATGATGGAGAACTTTTGGTGGAATGAAGATTGGCAGAGGAAACCAAAGTACTTAGAGAAAACCTACCCCAGCGCCACTTTGTCCACCACAAATCCCACTTGACCAGACCCGTATTATATAGTAACTCCCACTTTACATAAATCTCAGATTTTACAGACATATGATAAGTTAAGAAGGAAGTCGTTTTCTGTGACTGGCGCTGTGTATTCTTTGTTTTAGCCGACGTTTCGGACGAACAACATGAACAAGGAAGCAGGGTTCTGTCTCAACAAGGCATGGAAGCCTCTCATCTCTTCCCTCAAGAGAACTCCACCAAGCCACCCCAGTTCTTCGTCATGTCATTGATGTCAGTAGCCTGTCCCCTGTAAATCATGTCATTGATGTCAGTAGCCTGTCCCCAGCCAACTGGTTCTTCTTGTCTAACCGCAACTTCTGTGCCATTTACCTCCCAGTTGCCTAGATTCACTGACCGTTCCCCCCCCCTTTGCCCACAAGACCATATATGGCCTAAATCGCTCTTCACTGCTCCTATTGGTCCCCTCTCCCTCTTCCTATATAAAGCAGCGCTTTTCACTTCCTAAACATTACAGCTACTGCTCTCTGCATTCGCAAGCCAATTCACCTACCCTGAAGATGGAGGCGATATGTTCCTCCGAAACGTCTGCTAAAACAAAGAATACACAGCGCCAGATCCCAGAAGACGACTTTCTTCGTAGTCATCACCATGAAAACCTCAAAAACTTACATATGATAAGTTACTTGATGGACGTCTTTGACATGTGTAATTTTTTTTCAAACATATTTTGGAGTTGGTGTATAATGTCTGTACACATTATTAGCTACTGATCAGCTGTGTGAGCAGTGTTCTGGTTGACTCTGTCAACACTAGATGTGAATGTATGGTGACTAGACTCCAGGATATTAAAATCTCTGAATGACCAAGATCAGAAATTCTCTGTTCTTAGTCACTTTCCACTTGTCTTAAATTCGTAATTATTTATGCTACTAATACTGCTGTTGCCACTGCCACTTCCACCACCTCTACTAGAACTACCATCACCCTGACTTCTCTTATGCCTTCTATTGCTGTTGCTGTAATTAGCATGTGGAATGAAGACTTGCCTTGTGATAGGGCGCCTATGCATACAAACTTCTGTACAGTGTGTCTGCACATATCTGCTCATCTCAGGTAAAACACATGATGTCACAAGTTTCTTTTAATAACAGGAGTTTGATTTGCAGATAGGTCACTGAGTTGTATGTGCAGTGTGTACATGTATTGTAAGTTTTGCTGGCGTTTATTGTCAAGTGGTGGAAGCTTTTAAAACACATTTGATGTCATCATTTCTTTACAGATATTTTAGTTCAGTCCTGACTCAGATTGTAATGGTATTTACTTTGTTCTGTTAACATGAAACAGTAAAGAAATGATTTATATTCATATGTTCAATATTCAGAAACTAAGACCTTACCACAGCCTCACAGAATTCCCTTTGTTAATACAAATGGTTCCTCTTACAGTTCGTCAGAAATCCCACAGTACCGTTTACCATATGATGTCGTTAATTTTGAAATAGACATGGTGAAAGATTTGGGTGTGAAAGTGAAAACTGGTCGAGCACTCTCAAAGCATGATCTCTCAATTAAGGTAAACGATTACCATTTCTTGTTATGGTGCTTGGTCATACACAACAGTATGCATGCTTAAAATCTCAAGTACGTATGGTGGAAGTCCTGCCCTTAATCCCGTCTGCTGCCTAGAACATTAATGGTGTTAGAATGTAACACTTGAAAATTTTTAACATGGAACTTTTTAGGAAATAAGTGTTAGCTAGTTTCATGTGAATCATTACAGGCCTGTGCTTAAATTGTTTGAATATTCTATAGAATGTGATAGTGTGATACCGTGTATACAGAGTGAAATGAAATTCACACACAAACTCTCCATAATGTGATACCCTATTAAAAAAACAAGATAATGTTGTTTATGTGTCCTGTGATGTTTAATTTTCAAGTACATATCACTGTAAAATGACAGAAGCTGTCAAATGATGAAACCATGGGTGCCTTGAAGCTATAACAGGTGTTCGAAGTAGTCTTCATCCATTTTAAGGTGCATGGTATCGCATCACATGTCATTCTGTTGAACATACCATAACATGTTGGCATCAACCATTGTCACTGATGGATGCTTGAAGTCTTTCCATGAGATTTTCAATATTCCTAGGAGGTACTGCATAAACATGCTTCTTCAAGTATCCCTGTAAGAAGAAACCATAGGAGTTATGTCTGGCAACTAAAGAGGCCGTGCAGTCTGTCCTTCATGTCCAGTTCACCTTCCTGGATATGTTGCGTTCAACAACTGCCAGACATCTTCCCCACAGTGTGTTTGAGCTCTGTCTTGCCGAAACCAGACCCGCTCTCTGCCTCACAGCTAGAAGCACATCTTCAAGCAGCCTCGGTAGGTTTTCAGAAAATCACATCATCATTGAGCAGTCAGCCCATTGGGCAGCAAATTGGGTCCCACAACAATGTCCCTGAAGATGCCAGCCTAAATGCTGACACTGAAATTGTCTTCATACCCACATCTGCATATAGCATGAGGATTACCACATGCCCAGAGGTGACTATTGTGGATGTTGAAACAACCCTCATGCATAAAGAATACTTTTATCTGTCCACAGAAAGGATCCCATCCACTGTGTGTGGATGCTTTAGCCATTTGCAAAATTGCATTCATAGAGGACAGTCATCTGGCAGCAGACGTGTGCAATTGATCATCATTAAACACTTTGAGGACCCTTGCTGGGGATAGTCCTAACTGTGCAACATCATGTAAGCTTATCTTCATGGGTGTCATTCCACAGCTTCAATTGTGGCACCACCATTGGCTGGTGTCCATGCAGTCTGTGGACAGCTGCCATTCATAGGTGCCATAAGTGTTACACTTTTTGTGTTGTGGAGATGCTGCTGCAGATTACATCTGTATGAAGACCAGGATAATATAGTGTGTATTCCATTGTCACTTGATAAGAAGTGATCTCTGTTGTGCACTGTTTCTTGAGTATACCAAACAATATGCTAGTATTGCTGTGACAAATAACACTGCTGAGAAGTATATTACCCTATTAGATGGTGACGTGTATTTTGATAACTAAACATCTCAGTATATGTTGTATAAGATTTTTTACTAGTTTTCTAACATGGAATCACACTGTGGAGAACCAGTGTGCAAATATTGCTTCACTCTGTTTTAAATTGCATATGCAGGAAGTCTGATGGTAACAATATAAGGAAGCTTCAGTAGTGCAGAATTTGTGCACTGCAGGATTTCTACATGGGCACTGATGTACAGTATTTATTTTATTTTCTGATGTACGTATATATAGCACAGTGGTTGTTTTGCTACAATATGCTGCATAAAGTGAAAATCCCATAATCAAGGGCATGTGTACATACTCAATGATATAAAGAGGCTGTTACAGTCATGAGCATATATTTTAAATAGTGAACATGGTTTTCGTCTTTTAATGCTATAGAGCATAAAGATATTCAGAGGATAACTATGAATATATAACCAATATATGAAAATTAATTATTAAATATTTATTCTGACGTAGATACTCATAAAATAAGTGTATGTGTGTATGTGCGTGAAAACATTAACTATTCTTATAGGGCTTAGAGAAAGAAGGATATAGAGCAGTCTTCTTGGGGATTGGGCTCCCTGAACCAAAAATAATACCAGCATTTGAGGGTTTGACGAAAGAGATGGGTTTTTATACTTCGAAGTCTTTCTTGCCATCAGTTGCAAAAGGAAGCAAAGCAGGTATGTGCATGTAAGTAATAAATGCATCTTTGATGAGCAGATGATAATTGAGAGATGGAAGTTGGTCAGCAGTGCATCACCGGACCTGTTACTTTTAAACTAGTTTATTTTTAGCTATTCCTGGCTTACTTGTACTTACTGATGTTTCCAGTTGATCAAATTATAGAGGAGCGAATTACAGAATAAGAGAATAATGAGCTGGAAAGGATGTGGAAGCAATCCTAGCATTTGCCTGAAAGTAACAAAGAAAACCCCAAAGGACTCAATAAGAGTAGCTGGTCTCTAGGCATAGATTCAAACCTGATACCTCCGGAAAAGAAAGGATTGCTACCACTCACATGCTTATTTCAGTACAGTTTTTTTTACATATGTGCCATAGCAGAATGTACACTATAATGGTAATGTAAATTATTCTTTCCATGGGATGAGGGTACAATATACAGTTTGACTCTGTGATGTCATACATTGTGAAGTGCTGTGTCAGTCCAGTTCATGTTTAACACTGGGCCGTAATTCTGGATTGATGTTCACAGGGCAAGACACAGTATGTTTTCCAGGTGATGTCTTCTGGGTTGTGATATGTAATGTTGTAGATGGATATAAATGTTTCAGAGAAACCAGCCACATGCTCATCCAGGGTTGAAAGATGTAGGGTGAGGAATCATTTCTGTTATATAGGCAAGAGAAGGAAAGAAATGGGAGCAGCTCTTCCAGGGAACCAGTAGGCCTGTGTTTGTCACCACAGGAGGAAAAGTGAAATATATATATGACTGTACAGATTCCTCACTCTAAACATTAAACCCTGAAGATGGAGGCAGTATGCTCCTCTGAAACATTTATATAAGAATGGGGAAGACCTCAGTCTGAACGATCACTGCCATGAAGACCTCGATTGAGACCTATAATGGTGTGTGTCCTCTAAGCACTTGCAGAAACTTGCTTTTAATAATACAAACGTGACATAAATTTAAATCTTTACGTGGTACAACACAGAAAAAGTATATGTTAAAACATTTATTTTATAAGGTGGGTTGGCAGATGAAGAGCACATTCTTCTGGGTTGTGACACTGTAGTTCAGAGAAAGTTCGGCTTCTGTCCACTACCCAGTGTTGCAGCCTAGAAGGCCATTCGCTTAAGTCACTAGTGTGAGAACCTCAAGTGTACCAGGTTACTTGCTTCATGGTTGCTTAGGGAATAAATTTAAAATTTGTGTAAATCCCTGAGGTAGTATGTTGAGTTGTATAGACTGTCACACTGATTTTCAGAAGGTTCATGGGTTTTCCAACCCCAAAATATAACAACCATGGTTATAGTACTCCAAAGAAATAATATTTTTACTCCTTGTCTCTTGATTAGATTGCAGGTATTTATTATGAAACAGTATGAATACCATGCCACAATTTTTGCTTTCTGTAACTATCAATATTATTAACATGGCGGCCATGTGGACTGAATATAATTCAGTGTGCATTGCTACTGCCTCTTAATGTATGGTTTGGAAGTGCTGTTTGATGATATAATCTACAGTAAACTCCCAGTTATATAGCATGTATGGGAAATGGAGTGTGCCAGTTGTATGATCTCACAGAAGCTCAATAAAATACAGTGTAGTAAACAAGTCTGTATGTACACTGTTAAATACCCAGACTGAAAGAGAATCAGTGAGAATGAAGTGCACTGCAGATTGAAGGGTGAAATATTTTGGATGTGCTGTAACGTGAACACAGATTTAATTAGTCTGTACTGTTATGACAGCTATATGAGGGAGGTGAACATGTACATGTGTCATATATTATTAACATGGCGGCCATGTGGACTGAATATAATTCAGTGTGCATTGCTACTGCCTCTTAATGTATGGTTTGGAAGTGCTGTTTGATGATATAATCTACAGTAAACTCCCAGTTATATAGCATGTATGGGAAATGGAGTGTGCCAGTTGTATGATCTCACAGAAGCTCAATAAAATACAGTGTAGTAAACAAGTCTGTATGTACACTGTTAAATACCCAGACTGAAAGAGAATCAGTGAGAATGAAGTGCACTGCAGATTGAAGGGTGAAATATTTTGGATGTGCTGTAACGTGAACACAGATTTAATTAGTCTGTACTGTTATGACAGCTATATGAGGGAGGTGAACATGTACATGTGTCATGGCTTTTTGTTTTAAGTTTATTTACAATGATGGTAAATTTGATTTGAAACCTTTGCTGAGTGTATGACAATTCTGGGTGCTTGGATACCAGGTAATGGAATTTGCTATATGAGGAATATTTGACTTCGATGTAGATAACTTTTGGTAAAGTGTAAATGACAACATTGTAGCACCAGGAATGTTTTGATTTGTTGCTGAAATGTATATAGTGATACTAGATAGTATTAAATGCAACAGATTCACGGTACAAATGGTAAGAATTAAAGGTAAATATGTCCCTAATCTCAAATAATTAAGCACCATGCCAAGAAGACATGGAGGAGTGTCCATCAGTCTTAATGGAGTTGAATGGTCAGCTTCATGTTCCTGTTACTTTACCCTGAGAGAGAGCCCCCAATACCTCTTCTGTTGGAGGCTCAGTGCTGTGTAGAAGAGAAAAGCTCTTGCCCCGATTCCTTGTCCATCCAAGCCATAACCTAGTTGCTGTAGCAAGTGAGCTGTCCTTAAAAATGTTGAGTTCTGTTAATACATAATTGTATGTGTGTATCCCTGCAGTTTAAATACTGTTTCATTACCAAATCATGTCTGTGTAATAAGGGGTAGAAGTAGAGGGGTAGAGATGGGCAGTCAGGTTCAACACCTCTGTAGTTCTGAAATGACTTTATTACCTGAGGTAAACACACTTACATTCCTTCAGTATAATTCCCCCCATGTGTACCACCTTCTGCCAAATTTGTGGAAGGCATCATACACCATTAGCATGTCCACTTCTGTTGATGTCCAGCAGTGACCGCCCTACAGCACGAATAAGCTCCTCTCTTGTGTTGTAACATGTCCCTCACAGTGGTTCTTTCATTTTGGCAAAGAGATCATAATCGCACGGACTCATATGGGGTGAGTATGGCGGATGTTACAGTATCTCCCATCGCCAGCGGCGAAGGAGATCCTTGACAGCGTCAACAGCATGAGCCGTTGCATTGTCATGAAGGATGATGGGGTTTGTTGCCAACAAGTGTCATCGCTTTCTACTGAGTGCTGGACGGGGATGATTATGCAGGAAATGGCAGTAGGCAGTGTTTACTGTCTCTCGTTGAGGTACATTATGGTGCAGTATCACTCCATCAGTGTCATATGCCACAATGAACATCACCTTCACATTACTCTGTGTAGGGCGCACTTTCTTTGGATGAAGAGATCCAGGATGCTTCCATTCATTTGATTGTCGCTTCAAGTGCGGTTCATATGAGCGAGCCCAAGTTTCGTCCAGAGTGACGATCCTTCCAAGGAAGTCATCACATTCCCTCTGGTACCAGTCCAACAAGTCCTGTGCAATTGCATACTGTTGCCATTGTTGCACCTCGGACATTGTATGGGGTACCCAGCACACTGCAATTTTGCGGTATCCAAGAGTATCATGCAGAATGTGGAGCACGGTTTTGTGACATACACCTACCTCAGCAGCTAACTCCTGTGCAGCCCATCAGTGATCGATATCCAGCAAAGAAGCAAGAAGCTGAATTGTGTAGTTATCAACATGGGATCGTCCTGAACGACGGCTGTCCTGAATGGCATCCCTCCCTTCATGGAACAATTTCTGTGCGACTGTGCGATATGGCAAAGCAACATCACCACATGCTTCTCACAGTCCCTGATAACAGTTTTGTGCACTACGACCTCGTGCAACTTCAATTTTTATCCAGGAGCATTCTTATTTTGTAAACATGTTGTTAGGGTGCTTGAACTGGGCTCCTGCACTTCAAGATGATGCACAATGCAACTCAATGAAACACAACTAGAGCCACTCACTGCATTACTTCAGCTGAACTTCTGCTATCAGCTAGAGATGGCACTAGTGCCACCTGACGCACATCTTTCATGTTACAGCAGTGTTGCCACTACTTTCTATCCAACCCTTGTATCTGGTCATCCGGTGGTGAGTGTTACCTTATAGGCTCACCATTCAGTGGTTGACTGTGTATGTATCGCACTTATAGACTGAGCACACTGTTGTGTCTGTTGGTGCATGTATGTGCCATTAGCATGATTTATCAAAACTTGCCTTACTGAAGACAGTCTTTATTCTTTGATCTGATTGATGGTACACAACATTATTAAAAATACCATTTTAATATACAATATATATGTTTGATAGCAGATTGTTATTTAATAAAGAGAATAGTTTGTTGAGGGGCTATGCTACAAGCCGGAAGGTCGCGGGTTCAAGACCCGATGAGGTCATTGGATTTTTTTCAATTGACCTAATCCTTCCAGCCGCACTATGGCCCAGGGGTCGACTCAGCCTCTAACAGAAATGAGTACCAGGAATTAATTAAATAATTTTCCTGGGGCGGCCAGCGTATAAGGATGACAACCTTACCACCATCTTTCAGCTGATTGTCTAGATAATCTCAACGTCTCACAACCCTATGGGCCTTCACAGCCTGTTACAGGGATAGCTTTACTTTACTTTACTTTTACTTTATTTCAATTTATAGGGATGTGTGAATGCAGGAGTGCTTTACCCTCTCTTCAAGGCAGTGTGGTTGTGCTTGGAGCAGGGGACACTGCGTTTGATTGTGCCACTTCAGCTTTGCGGTGTGGAGCAAAGAAAGTATTTGTTGTATTTCGCAAAGGCTTCAGGAATATACGAGCAGTGCCTGAAGAGGTAAGGAAGCAAGCAGCCTATAGGACAAATGATAAACAGTTACTGACTGGTGAAGAAAACTCTCACTTCTTTGGAATCTCAAGGTTGGCTGTTTCTCTGTTTATTTCATGTTGCTTTCTCATGTACCAGGATTGTGTAGTACTGAACAGTAGGATGATTTTTGAATGATGATGAAATGCAAAGGCTGGGGAACAGAATGGTCATAAATGAAGTGTGATCTAGCATTTGCCTGGCAGGAATGAATACCACAAGATCTCAAGGCCGAGATTTTGACCAGGGCATCCAGAATACAAAGCAGGAGTGCTTGAAGCTTGAGTGCTTCAACTATGATGCGTGGTTGAACATCGTGAACATGTGTACCATTAAACCCTATCTTGAGCATATTCATTCCATCTAATGTCTCGATGTCCTGTAGTAAAGGTAAAGTTGTCTCTGTGCTTACTTAGGCCATTCCATGAAGACAGATGGGGGTGAGGTGATGGAGGTGTAGCTTCAAACATTCTGAGCCTTATCACTAGATTGAGGTGTGTGGTTAGTTTTATGCCCCTGTCACCATACCCTCTTGGAAAGAGCGCCTCATATACTGTTGGAGAGAAGGCTGGGTGGTCCCATAGGCAGTCTAGATGCTGTGAAGAAGAGAAAAAATCTTGTGCCCTTGTGAGGACTCAAAGCAAATCACTTAGTCACTGCTTGTTGCTGTACTGACTGAGTTAGCCTCCTGTTTTCACAAATTATTTCTCCAAAATCTAATATTAATAATATTGTAGCCTGTAGGACCTTTGCAATGCAACAACCATGAGATTGGCTGATGTAACAGGGTCATTTCTGGGCAATGGCATGGTATACATGTTCCTGTTGCTAGACAGCAAATTTTTAATAATGCAGCAGTTGGACTACAACAGTGGAAGAGCTGTGTTTTCTACATGGTCTGTGCCAAGAGGTTATAAGCAAGACGAGGTTTGGAGCGTAGTCACTTGAGAGTGAGTTCTGTATGGGAGTATGTGAAGAGAGGACCGGAGTACATGGAGATGAAGAATCTCCACTGTTAGAAGTCATTACCAGGGAACGTCTAGTGAAGACACTGCAGGCTGGAGAAGATTATATGTGTAGTGATTTATAAAGTGTGGATATCAGTGATATTGTTATACACGTGGTTCTCGACTTACAGCTGACTTCCATTCTGACTGACGGGTCTTAAGTTGATCTGGTCGTATGTCGGCCATATATTTACTAACAGTATTTTTTAACCTTTCTAATCTTTTTATCATCTTTATAATTTATTTTTAAAATGTGTGTGTCACACATACATCCAACGATACAATGCGCGCAGCCACAAGAGTAGAACACATAGTAAGACATATATACACACAACATTAGAAACATAAGAAGAACGACCCCATGTTGATGATTAATAATACACACGAATTTAAAATATGACATATGAGATAATAGGTTTTAACAAGTTTTAAATACATAAACTTTATTATTATATAAGGACGTGTACAAATTTAATATTATTTGTAAATGGACATATAAAGGAAAGCAATGAAATAGTTGATGGATCGATACACCTGAAGTTGGCAGCGTACTGCCGAAACATGTAGTGTAGAAGTGATAAATGGGATTGTATGCACTTGAAGACTGTTAATACATACACATTATGAACATGAATCAGTGCAACAGGATGGTAAAATACAGCCCCTTTACTTTTGCCTCATTTCCTGTTTGTGATTCAGACTATCATTGCTCCTCACAATGCATGCCACCAAACTCGTTTCACTCTTATCCCAGAAAAGTTTAACTCTTATTTGCAGGATGGATATTACTTATTCGAGGAATCATGTTTGTACGAAATATTGGAATAAGCATGTTTTAACATAATTTATATTTTATGAAAAATTAAATCTTTAGTTCTGGACTTCCACCTACACTCTGGAATAATTCTTGTTTGTGCTGTCATGTGTCAGTGACTAGACACAAGATTTGGATTAAATATTGAATTTATTGAAGACTTATAATTCATAAGTAAATTTATTATATCACTCTCACTAATCTACACACTCAACAGATCACTATAACAGACACTAAGTCTTCTCAATTTGTGTTGTCTTTGTTGATTATTTTTGGTAGCGGCTTCTAACAATGGAGATTCCTCTGCTTCCATTCTCAGGCCCAACCACCACGTGCAACTGCTCACTCACAACTAACTAATTGCTATCTGCTGACTGCCGACTTGTGACTCATTCACTTGCCCCATTGCTGCTCATTGTACTATAGACCCAGTGTGGACTGTGGTTCTTCTTTTGTTACATACATATCTGTTGCCATGGAAGCATGTTTACCAGGCCATTTCCTAGTAATGGCCTCCTTTCTGGCCCAAGTATTCCACCTTGCAGGCATCATGTCATAGTGTGGCTAAATAATTATGCAATAACAGTGCAACAGAACAGGCCCAAGTGTATGGGTTTGTGTGTGTAGGAGAGGACCATCTAGTGAGTGAGTGCGTGCTTAAATTATCCCCATTAGTGGGTGAGTGACCAATAATAGTGGGACCCCTCCACATGTCAAGGAAGAGGCTCCATGTATGTAAAAGTCTTAGAAAGAATATGGTAAAGGGGCGCAGATGCTACCCAAAAGCAAGACTGACTGTGCTGGTGAGGCCCAGCAGCAATTTACCCAGCTGACTGCAACAAACCAGGTTGCACATCCTTCTACAATGAATTGTCATTGTTGAACAATTATTCATGTTTAAAGTGAGCTGTAAAGCTGTTAATACAGTTCACACATGTATTGTTGAGAATGTATAGTTTTCTTATTATATTAGTTTTATGACTCACTGTTCAGCAGTCCCATGAAGATTTTTTGTTGAATCAGATGTGGGGAACACATGATATCAAATGCACAGAACTTTTAAAAACTTTGTTCATCTATTGCTATTAAATTGGCAGATATCAGTACTGATACACGAATCTTAACAAGCCACCTTCATGCAGTTTTATGGTTTCCTGTTAGAAGGAAACTGATAGGAAGCGATGTATAAATTATTGTTATTTTTATCATATTTCCATTATATGTCTAGTGGAAAGAATAGCTCATTAATTGCACCAGTAGAACTGTATGCTGTTGTACTGTCCCAGTTTCTCATATTTCCATCTTCAGGTTGAACTGGCCCAAGAAGAGAAATGTGAATTTATCCCATTCCAGTCACCGAAGCAAGTAATTCTTAAAGAAAATAAAATTGTAGCAGTCGAATTTTACAGAACAGAACAAGATGAAAATGGCAGATGGATTGAAGATGCAGAGCAAATCACGAGACTAAAAGCTAACTTCATTATATCTGCATTTGGTTCTGGACTGTATGACTTGGAAGGTATGCCAGTTTACATATCAGATATCCTTTTCTTGGTATGTTACTGTATCAAGTTGTTTTGTTCTGTAGGTAGTGATCCCCACCAAGCACACACTGTCTCTTAATAGAAATGTAAATAAAATAAGAAGGCCCACCAACATGTCTCTTATATCTGTTAGATGGCTTCCAAATGCATATATGTAAGTGGGTTTTTTGACACTGTACAGTGATGGGAATGAAGTATGTAGATTTGGAGGTTGGCTATGTACAAAAACAGATATGTGGAAGAAATGCTGTACATAAAATATTAAGCCTGGAATATATTGTCGCGTATCGGGCGTATATCGCGACAAATAAATTCTCGACGTATTCGATGTAGCGAATTTTATTTCACATTCGCTCTCACAATCACCCAAATTACAATCTGACGATTACTGCTATCTGCAGTATCACAAATAGTACACTCCAAAATGCCAGAATACAACTGACTGGCTGACTCTACGTCTCGACTCGGCGATATCCACGGTATAACTGTTGCCGTACAACTCTGAACTCTGCGGTAGCCACACTAGAATTGACTGTGAATAGCCTTCGCTGCTCCCTATGTAGCCTCGATCGGACAATACGGGAAAACGGCCACGTAATGGGCACCCTTGTTGCTAGCCACGCTGTGTTGCTATGTAACGCTAGCGGAGGTCACCGTTGTTACTATCGTAACGTCGCCGCTGTTGATTCGCGTTGCCTAGCGACCGCGATATTCCTCGGTGACGTCACCGCGGAGGGGAGTGGCGGGGCGGGAACTCGCCTATTACCGTAAGAACGCGAGCGTTACGTTACCGCCACGTACCGCTGGGGAGGTAGGG